ATGTCATCTCATTAACAATAATATCTTTGATCGTTAAGCTTTATAAAAATAAAAAATCATTCCGTCATATTCACATGCTCAGAGGTCAGTCCTGGACAGCGTCTCGCTGTTTGCATACGCTTCAAAGGATGCAGGAAGTGATGATGGTGAGGGGCGGGGCCTAACGCTGCTGAGTCTAGATGGAGGTGGGGCAAAGGTCAACGCTTGTCCAATCATGCAACAGGTGGCTGCTCATGCTGGTGGTCGCCATGGTAACCAGGATCCCAGCCAGTTGCTGTGGTGATGACTTCCTGTTACCGCCCTTAGAGCAGAATGAGGCATGATGGGTAATAGAAGTGGAGGTGTGGCTCAGTGGGCGGGGCCACGTTTCCTTCTTATGGTCCAATCAAGACAAGAGGAAGGGGTGGGGCTTCTCTCAGCAGGCCAACCAAAGAAGCCCTTATTAACTTCAACCAATGAGAGAGGAGAATGTCATCACTGTTGGCCACTCAGAGAGAGAGCCCGCCCACTAGGCCCCGCCCACCAAGCCGGCTGCCAGTCAGAACCTGGGTCAGTCTCTGAGGACTCGGCTCCAGCCAGGGGCCCGGGCCGCCCGGCTGTCGCCAGGACAYCTCAGACACCTCCTGAGCTTCTGATTGGTCGATCTGTGAGGAGCTGGCTGCTGATTGGCTGTCAGACTGCTCGTCATCCATCGGCATCAGGAAGGAGAACGCTGCCTGTGGAGGTGCAGCAGATCCTCCTGAGGTGTCCCAGGTCCAAGTCCTGGTCCTGGTCCTGGGCGCACTCCTGCTCCTCCTGTCCTGATGCTCCTCCTTCTGGTTCTGGTTCTGGTTCTGGTTCTGGTGGTCCCGATTCTTCTGCCTGATGTTCTGACTTCTTCTCTCCTCCTCTTCCTCCACCAGGTCCAAGTCCAGATCAGGACGTCCTCTTCCTGTTCTGCGTTTGGTTTCCACCTTCTTCTCCTTCCTCCTCTCTCCTCCTCCTCCTGCACCTCCTCCTCCTCCTGCACCTCCTTCTCCTCCTCCTGCTCCTCTTGAATACTGGTCGAGAGAAGCAGTTGTCATGGTTGCCAGGCCCTGCACCTCTGGGTGTGGAGAGGAGGAGGAGAGGGCTCCTTCCTCAAGGCCTGAAGGGTCGGAGAGAAAATAAACAAATTAATGTTTGTCAGCAGATAGATGGTAAACAAACAAACAAACAATCAGACAAACAAACAAACAAACAATCAGACAAACAAACAAACAATCAGAGTAACAAACAAACAGGCTAAAAACAAACAAACAAACAGCTTTCATCTGAGCAGGGACTTTCTGCTGCTCAGGTGCTGATCAGGACACGCCCCCTTCTCTTCATCAGGACCAATGAGATCTGTGTAATCCAAGAAGGCGTTCTGCAGAAACACTGATTGGCTGTTGTCTTTGCTCTGTTGTTTGTAAAGTTTGGTTCTTCTCTTTAGTTTGTTTTCACTGTTGACTGTTGACCACAGCAGCCAGAGCTGAGGGGGTTAACATGAGGGTGGGAGGGGCCACATCAGAGGATGAAGGGTTAATTTTAGGGTCCAGAGACGGGGAGGGTTAAATAATTCAAAAATGGACCTCTGAAGGGTCTCTCTCCAAAATCAGTCAATAATATAAAGAAACGCCGAAGCAACAATCATCCAATCAGATGTGGTTGTTAAGTAACGCCCCCTTTGTGCTCGTCCAATCYGATGTGTCTGTTGTGTACCGCCTTCCCTTGGAAACACCTGCTCGTCTGCAGAGACCCCCTCTGGTGTGATCAGGGTTCAGCAGCTGCACCTGGTTCTCCAGGTGTGTAGAAGGAGTGACAGGAAGTCCACGTTACTTCCTGTTTTCCTCACTTCCTCTCACTCAGCTGTGAGTTCATTGTGTTTAGATGAGTTTAGTAAAGCTTCTCATTCATCAGACATGTTAAATGTGATCTACACAACCCCAGATGTTCATCAGAAAACCACCTGTGGACCAGTTTACACTTGGAACACCAAGGTTTGTGCAGATGATTTGTGTGCATTTTATAGTGAAGATGGAAACAAACAGTTTCAGTGTTTTTGTTCTGACATGAAGCTAAAAGTGAACAAACAGCTGACCTGGTAAACACTGAAGTGTTGTACAACCAAACGTTTCATGTTCTGACCTCTTCATGGGTCAGGGTTCTGTTGGCTGCTGAGCTACCTGACACCAGAAACTTTCTGTGAAGACCTGTGGACTCTGACTTCCTGTTTTTCTTTCTTTGAGTTGGAAACAAAAAGCCTTCATGACCACAGTGTTTTTTTACAGCTCTGTTTGTGTAACAAGTTGTGTTTATTCTTGTCTTTTTGTCGTTGAGTTCAATACAATTTATTTCCCTGTTTAAACCTTGTGTTTGTGGTCAGTTTGTGTGTGTGTGGTCAGTTTGTGTGTTTGTGGTCAGTTTGTGTTTGTGGTCAGTTTGTGTTTGTGGTCAGTTTGTGTTTGTGGTCAGTTTGTGTTTGTGGTCAGTTTGTGTGTTTGTGGTCAGTTTGTGTTGGACTCCTTCAGAACCCAGTCTTTGAAATGAAATGATCTCATTTAAAAATACAGAACCACTATAGAAGTAACATCTGACCCCACAGACCTAAACCCAGTCCTGTTGGACCTGCAGCTCAGACCTCACAGCAGAACCATCAGACAGACCCTGTAGAACCATCAGACAGAACCTGTAGAACCATCAAACAGAACCTGTAGAACCATCAGACAGACCCTGTAGAACCATCAGACAGAACCTGTAGAACCATCAAACAGACCCTGTAGAACCGTCAGACAGACCCTGTAGAACCATCAACAGACCCTGTAGAACCATCAGACAGAACCTGTAGAACCATCAGACAGACCCTGTAGAACCATCAGACAGACCCTGTAGAACCGTCAGACAGACCCTGTAGAACCATCAAACAGACCCTGTAGAACCATCAGACAGACCCTGTAGAACCATCAGACAGACCCTGTAGAACCATCAGACA